TATGAGTTTAAACTTCTGATATAGGGTTTTCTGAGCGCACACATCTGAAGCACACGCACAGAAAGCGGCTGTCACAGCATGCGAGCACTAAACTAAGCTCTCATTCACACACAAGTTTACCTTAAAAACACACGAGTTACAAAAACAGTGGGTTATGTCTGTGAAGGTAAACAGCTGGGAAATGTTTACCTGATTATAGCACTTCAGACCTGGAAATGTCACCTTTAATGATTATCCTCATTTTCTGCAGGCAATGTTTTTGTAGTACGCTCACCCGGGAAAAAAGGTCAATTGCAACTTTTTATCTCAGAATTAACTGCGAGAAGAGAACTCCAAGAAAAGAAGAAAATACTGTGATACGAAGTTGCAATTACCTTTTTTATTTTTGCATTCCTTGGTGTAAACAGGCTTCCGTCATTTTCTTACAGGAGTCCATAATAAAACAAAAAAGATCTGGTACAAGCCATAATCTCCAATAGGACTCTTATGATTATCAAGAGGATAAAATGTTTCTGTAGGATTTGAAAGTTACTTTAAATAAAACAAAATATAAAATATAAAGCTCCTAAAACATTTCTTCCTCAGAACTGCGAGAAAAAAAGTCAGTCATGAAATATAAACTCAGAATTCTGACTTTTTTTCTCACAGTTCCAAGTTCACATCTGGCAACTTTTTGTTTATATCTCACAATTCTATTTTTTTTTCTCAGAATTCTATGTTTATATCTCAGCTATGGGTTGTTGTTTCCCACCGCCATGGAATAAACAAATACAAGTAAAAAAGGTAATTGTGATTTTTTTTGTTACATTTTAAAATTACGACATTTTTCTCTCACAACTGCAAGAAAGAGAATAGTGAGATAAAGAGTCACAATTGCCTTTTTTTATTCAATTCTTACATAAATTTGAGTAAATCAAGCAGGTTCTTAGTTGATCTCATTAGCGACTCTCTAAGAAATGATGATGGAATTTCTATGCTGGAAATTCCATCAGGAATCTTGTCACATTCCCAGAGATTCTTTTGACTGGTTGACAGGAGAAGAGATGGAGGGAGTTTGATGGACACTCAGATGCTGTTCTGAGATCAGTACGCAGTCTCACCGATCTCCGGGTCTTTGGCCAGCTCTTCATAGCTGCCATACGAGCGCGGGACGCTGTGCTTCTGCGCAAACTCCTGAGCGTGCTTCAGATCACGAGCCGCCACCGCCAACACCTGCCACTCACAGTCAGAAGAGCTTTACTGCCAGCTGTGTTCACACTCGAGGAGAAGCTTCCAGCAGAATGGCAGAATGACAAGACACAGGGGCCAGCTGTTCAAAAGTAATCGGATCGGATCAAATCTTGAAAATGGGTTAAAAAATTGGCTCAGTTTGTGTCGTTCAAAAGGTTTCAGTAAGATTGGGATACTTCTGATCTAGAAAACCTGGATTATTCTGATCCCAGCAGACGAGTGGATTTCAGCAACACAAATGTAACTTTAAAAATGGTCCAAAAAGTGCAACATTTGTAACATGTAATATATCCCCAAACAGCTGTCAATATCAAACAAATATATTTAATTGAAAGTGTTTTTTTAGCACTGATTGTAAACTACATTGGCACAATCATCAGAGATGGTAGTTATTTGTGTAAATGCAATGCTGAACTAGAATGCAAAACATTGGCTTTTGTTTCTCCATCAGCGTGTCCCTTTAGGGGCTCCGTAGAGCACTAGTAATCCAGATTTGGAAATCTGGAAAAGTGTGTATCTGGATCAGGGTGATCCAATCCAGTTTTGCTTTGAAAAACTGACACAGAAGTAAGATGGGATTCCTGATCCTGGATCGCAAAACATGGGTTTTCCATTCTGATCCAGATTCAACTTTTTGGACAACTGGCCCCTGATAATAAATAAAAAATATTTAAAGATATTGACTTTCTGTTGACCAGAAATGGTCATCATTTCATGCATGTCCACTGTAGAGGACACCAGGACTAAAAGCATGTTTATTACGCATTTTGGGAGACAAAACAATTGAATAGGAAAATAAATTATATATCAGCATTCTTATGAAATATTAGATATTATTATGAAAATCTGGCCAATTATTACTCTCATTATTACACTTCTTTTTTCAACATGCTGTCCCAACAGCACTTTAATATGCTAATTAGATACAGTGTATAGATAACATAGTGTTTAATGGGAAAACCAGTTTATGGAAATTTTACACACATACTGCATAAAGAAAAATGGTATATCAAATCATTTTGTTATCAACATAGTTGAGAATCAAAAAATCCTGAAACCTAAAAATTGATTGATTTTTTTAATCCCATTGCTTTTGCCTTTTCGTGTCTATGCATGTCTTGTTTTTTTTTTGTTTTTTTAGAAAAACTCCTGAGTCCTGGTGTCCTCTACAGAGGACATATAGCATGACATGAATAAAATATAATTTTTCAAAAATGTTATTTTTCCATTTTTTCTTATGTTCTAAACAATGTAATGACATGAAAAAATACTAAATTCACAAAGCTTTTTTCTGGGTCTCAGGGGGATCTTGTGCTATAATTAAATGCTATATGTAACAATAATGTGTTTTTTTTCCTTTACATAATCCCAGTGCAGTACCGATGTTGGCCAGATCACAGTGGCGTCGCTGTTTCCCCGCTGCACAGTAAAACTTCCTGATTCAGCTGTGCGCTTTGTTTACATTCAGCAGATCATGCAACTGTTTGTGAAACGCATGTTAGAGTGTCTTATGCGTGAGACTCAGTGCATGTCAGGTGTGTGTGTGTGTGTGTGGTCTGACTCTGTATCATCAGGATTAACTCGCGTTCATTCAGTGCGCATGTGTGTTTCTCCTGAAGTTTCTCATGTAAGCAGGTGTGTTTCTGCGCTTTACCTGATGATTTTCTGCTGGGAGAGTCTTCAGAGCCACTGTAAAGTCATGACTGATTTTCCCAGCGCTGCAGATTCCCCACCTGATCGCCATGATGGCCTGTGTGTGTGTGTGTGTGTGTGTTACTGTAAGAACCAGCAGATGGCAACAAACACTATGTGCAGAATATACTCTATACTGCCTACTACTAGTTTTGTTGTAAATATATATATATAGTGAAATATAACCAGGCCATGTTTTCATAAGGTTCCCTCCACATTATTGGGCTGAATTAATCACAGATTCATTAATGAGAGCAGAATGCTACTAAATTACAAGAGTGATGCTGTTGAAATATCTGGCAATTAAAACTCATATTAGTGGAGACGGACGTCTTTCTGATGATGACACAGACACTGTTTACTCTGCTTTGGAGTATGTCTTATACAGGGACCTCAAAACATGTCTGGACACTTTCATGTCTTATACGGAGAACTCAAATAGTTCTTATGCCTCTGCTGTTCTTTGTCCAGTCTACATGAGTAGATCAGGTCTTTGTGCTGGGTTTACCTCCATGAGGAAGACGTTGTTCTCCCGGGCGGCCGAGATGAGCTGTCTGACCTCTCGGAGGTTCATGGCGAAGGGTTTCTCGCACAGCACATTCTTCCCAGCGTTGAGGAACAGCAGACCCACCTGCAGATGATGTGTGTGCAGAACGCCGATGTACAGCACATCTGACAGGAGACGCTCGTCAGTGATTCTGAGGGATTCTGGCTCTTCAGTTCTGTCCAGCTCTGTCTGTTTACTCACCAATATTTGGATCCTTCACCAGCTCCTGGTAGGTGCCGTATGCTTTTGGGATGCCATGAGTTTTTGCAAACTTCTCTGCACGTTCTAGGCTTCTTGCTGCAACTGCAACTATCTACAAAACAACACAACACAGACAGAAAAGTGAATGATTAAATCAGATTTTAAAAGCAGATGTTTGGTTCGATGCACTGTATTTTATTTTATTTATTTATCCTTTATTTTACCAGGAATTATCCCATTGAGATAGAAATCTCTTCTGCAGGGAGTCCTGGCCAAAATGGCAGCACAGAAAGTTTCACATAAACAGATCAGACACATAAAACCAGAAAAAAATATCCAGCAACATATAAAAATAATTCCATAAACCATTCACATGTTTCTTCCAGATTGGACTCCAAAAGGTTTCTAAAAAATATTTAGAGATGGATCATAACACTCTGCATTTCATTCCATAAACTAGGACCATATGAGGAAAAGGCAGTTTTGCCAAACTCAGGACATGCTCAAATGTAATTTAGAAGAATTTCTAGTCCTATAATTACAAGTATAATATGATAAGAGATTACAAGTTGGCAGTTTACCTACAGTAATAATGCCTTGGCAGTAAATAGTAGCATAAGTGGGAACGTGAAGATGCATTCGTCACAAATCGTATTGCAGCATGATATACACAAACCAACTTCTTTAGTAAGGATAAGTTTGCATGCATATAAAGCACATCACCATAGTCCAACACTGAAAGGAAACAACTTTGGATAATTCTCTTTTTTGCTTCAAGTGGAAAGCATTCTTTATGCGAAAGAGAAAACCCAATTTAGATTTGAGCTTTTTTTTTTTTTTTTACAGATTTTCAATATGAATACTGACTGTATTGTACTGTACCTGGTGATCTTCATGAGAAAGTGTCTTCAGAGCCACACAGAAATCATGGCTGATGTTTCCAGCTCCACAGATTCCCCAGCGGGTTGCCATGTTCGCTCTGACCTTCAGACTGCATGCAGTTGCATGTGCGGAGCAGGCTTTTATCTGCGGTCAGAGTGCAGGTGAGGACGTCATGTGATCTGATAAAGTGTAACTTTGAAGTCAGAAACAGTTGTCAATGTCTCTCTGTAAATGTATTTTTTTTGTCACAGTTGGATTGATGAGCTCATAATGACTCAACACAAATCAGATCCTCATTAAATGTGCCAACTAATGATGATCAAGCATGTTTATGTTTATTTGTTTGTAAAGTATGTCAAGAAAACGTTATGTCACTCCGGTGGAGACCTGCCAAATTCACATTTATGTAAGTCTTACTATCACAACAGGTTAAAAAGAATCACATAGCCGTTTTAAATACAAAGTGGAGTGATGAAAATATCCTTAAAATCTCATTCTAACTGGATACATATTCAATCAAAAAAGGAAAAGTCTTAATATACTATGAATATAAACATAAAATGAAATTTTTTTTGAAGGTTAAACAATATTTCCATTTACAAAGGAAAGTGTTGTTCCTTATATATATATATATATACACACACACACACACACACACTCAAACACACACACACACACA